AAAACCATCAAAACCATCAAAACCTCAAAACCCATACCCTCAATACCAGTGTACGGTACTAACCATAGTAAAATCCATATTTGAGGAAACCTATATTAAATGAAATATTTATCTTGCAAATGTTAAAGGCAACCTTCCTATAGGCTTTCTAGTTTTTTAAAGAATCAATTTATTAATAACTTCAATAATTTTAATGATTTTTGGGACACCCAGATCTAATATGCCCTTGAAACTTGCTCTGCATGTTCAAAACCTTGCAAACCAACAAAACTTGGTTTTCACTATTTTATTTCAACTTTTTCTTCCCTATAACTTGCCATGTCTAACACATAATTGTATGCTTTATCTTTAGCTACTTAAATTTAGCAAACCTACCTCACCATCCTAGATGTCTATTTGAATCAGAGGGAGACTTAAATTCGTGGGAAGCATGCGCCTTGCGGCGCATGCTGGAAAGTAAACTGTACTATTGAAATAGGATGATATATTTTTGACACAAATAACACACCATACTTGCTTGCTTGGTTGATGCCATTTTACTGTTAAACCAGGAACTATCTCTTAATACTTAATAAGGTTGTGGTCAGACATTGGGTTAGACAGCCCTAGCAATGAAACTATAACATAATTAGATCTAGACATTGCAATGTAATAATTGACACCTCATAGGATTCATTTACTACTGTGCTAATGCAATCAGTTCAATTCTGAACTGAATTACAATTCTTTACAATCGTTCAATTCTGCAGTAACTGCCAGTAAGTATAGTAGAACTATAGACAAATTTGGAAGCAAAACAAAAGTCATCTAAAATAAAAACTTCTGTCACATTTTTTGATACAGACTGATGCTTTGGGCATTTGCAAAGCATAGACAACACCTGCTTCAAATCGGCTGCCTATCATTTATAAATTGTTATTACATTAAAAAAATTTTTTCCACACTATGTTAATTAGACTGCTTTTTTTTACATAGTTATTATCACTCCTTTTATAACTAAATGCATCACAACAGTTGAGCTGTCATTCAATGCATGCATAAATCATAATAATACAAAATTTTATACAAACTTATGATTAAAATGGGATTTTACAAAATTAATGTCCTCATACTGTGTAGAAAGTTTGAGCCAATTCTGAGCTCAAATTCTGGAGTTATGAACGCTTTTTCAAGCTAGCAGATTTTGAGAAAAAAGCATGGCCTATAGCTAATGGTATTTTTTCCAAAAAATGGCTCCAAAATTGCCCCATTTTTAATTACATTTTTTGATACATAGTGACTTGAAACAAGGGGAAAGAGCATCTTGACCATATTTTTGCCAATTTCTTCATATGCAAAGTGTATGCAATGTATCATCATTAATCAGTTTAGTTATTTCAAATTGTGTATGCACTTACTGTCTTTTAAAAGCAAAATATATTACATAAAATGTAGTGTACACATGCATTGATACATTAATAATGTAACCTACTAATCATTTTATCAACCTTCTATTTTTCTTTTTTTCTCCCATACATGCCTATAAGATTGTTTGATCCTAAGAAGGGAAACTTCAATGGAGTCAATGATAAAACCATCTCATTGAGTCACGTATGTTATAGGGAGGGAGGGAGGAGAGAGAAGGAGGGAAAGAGAATCAGAGATTAGAAGATCCTATATTTTAAGTATTCAAATTGACATTAAATTTACATTGAGAGTGTAAGAGCTATTTGTAAGAAAGGGAACATTATAAACTAATCAGACTTATAATGCATGCTTTGTACATTGCTGGCATTAATTAATTTTTTAACTTACATGTAGCAGTACAAACTGAGCTGCAATATAATCTTATTAACACTAAAATCAAAATTAGACTTGGCTTCTTTTGTATTACTGTTTATACATGATGATAGTAGGCTCTCAGTTATGGTAATTTTACTACAAATCAAACTGTGCATTGAGAAAATTAGTAAATATGAATGCATAGTCTATTTATTTGGTAAGTAAAGTATATTAAAGATGTGTATAAAGTTTGGCCTTTGATCTTCATTCTGTTTCCAGCAGTTTATCATAAGTTGTTTAAATAGTTCAGGACAATCTTGGGGTATGGGCATATGATCACCTTTTGATACTGCCTCCTTTACTTCTTCATCAGTCATACCAGGATATGGTTCCTTTCCTTTGGTAGCCAGTTCCCATAGTAATATACCAAATGACCAAACATCAGATTTGATACTTAATCGATTCAATATGTGCCCTTCAGGTGCTGTCCATCTATAAGTTAGTAGATCATATTTCTTAATGCTGTAGTATTTTTTGCCATTGAGGTGTTGAGCAAGATGAAAGTTTGCTATCTTGACAGTGTTATGATCTCCTAATAGTATATTAATAGCTCTTAGATCACAATGAATGTAATCTTGATTTCCTAAATAAATCATACCATCCGTAACTTGAATAGCGAAGTTCACCAGCTGTACTTGTGTAGGAGGCTTAATCATGTTAATTAGATAATTTTTAAGATTTTGATCTATCGGCGCTGTTATAATATAAAAAGGATAGTCTTCAATACAAACACCATATAGGCTGATAATGTTCTTATTATAGAATTTTCTTAATATGTTGGCTTCTTTAATGAATGTTTCTTGTGTAATATTTGTTGCTATATTTGTCTTAATGATAACTGGCCCTTTACCTTGACAATTACCCTTCCACGTCTCTCCAAAGTGTCCAGCATTTATGCATTGTTCAAACTTGATTGATGACTTATTAATTTCCCAGTTTTTATGTATTTGAATGGGCATGTTTACTTGTTTAGGTATAGGAACTGTTAGTGAGCAGGCCAGACCATCAGCTTTCATCATGTAGTGATGTACCAGGTCATTGAGTGAATCAAACTGAACATGAGGGGATATATAATACTGATTTTTCACAATGTATATACAATAGTGCCGGATTTTAACTCCATCATTAAGTGAGAGGGAATAATACTGTCCAGGATCCCTTTCACTATCTCTAATTAGGAAAGTACCTGCTTGTGTGTCTGCTTGGCTCAGTCTCTCCTCTGCTTCATCACGACTCACTGTATGATAGTAAATGTACTTGTACCTATTGTTAATAAATAAAGATCCTTTGTTACAACTTTAATTTCTTACATTAGTGAGTATTTTCCTTCAATTGGTAATATATAATTAATTGGTACGTATCCTTCTTTGTCAGTATGGAGTGAATGCATATACCACCATCTATGATCATCATCATATGTAACAACTTCAAGCACTTCTCCTACAAAAAGTACATTGATATGTAGTTTATTGTTTCTTTATTGTTTCCAAACCTTTCTTTAAAGTTAAGTCATCTAAGGTTTGTGCTTCAAAATTATAACTAGCCTTGAATACTGTATGTAGAACAAGTTCTATTAAATAAAAACACCATACATGCTTATTTACATTTATTCTTTGTGGTCAAATTCCTCAATGATTGTAGTAGAGTAGGATCATTAGTAATTCTTACTATAAAATATTCTGCTTTTTCACCATCATTAAAAAGAGCAGGTAGGAGTGATAATCCTTCCTTTGTCACTGCTGTCACTGCAAACTGAAACAAGTAAAGTAATTCTACTCTTGAGTATCCAATGTATTTCATTGGAACAGCACTCTTTTGTCCAGTCTCCAGTGATTGTACCTCATGTCCATTTGTACTTAACTGAAGTAGTTTGCCCTTTTTGAATGAAATAGTTGTTTCATTATAATCATCTTGAGCTTCACAGATAGATCCATTGAATGATAGCACTGTCTGTGTGGATTTTACTATAATTATATCTAATTATGAAGTATGAATGAAATACTTACTGTAAAAATTTGAAGTTTGCATTTCTAACAATTTTACACTAATAGATGATATACTTTCCAGTAGTCCTCCAATCTCTTTTTCATTGTCTTGTAGTACTTCCTTTCGACCTGTTTTAAAGTACATGTATCATGTCATGAAGCATGTATATACTTATTCTGATCCTTAGAGTAGATTGTAAATGTTCATTTTCTCCTAGTAGCATTCGCTTTTTTGTATTTGCAGCCTTTTCTCTTTCAAATTGTTTGACTTTAGATTTAAACCCTTTATAAGAATTAGTTAATTACAATAATGCACTAATAATTATTTATGCTATACCTGATGCTTGCATGCTATGATTGATGAATTCTAAAATTAGTATTAAAAATAACATGATAGTTAATGTAATGTCCCTATACCTTGTTTCTGCTTTAAAGGTATAAGTTGCACTGCTTGACTAGCAAGGAGACCTGTACATATACATACATTGATTTGATTTTATAAAAAAAATAGTTCATCTCATACTTTCTTTGTCATTGTGGTATAGATTCATCTTTACCAATTCTCCTTCACACATTTCAATTTCCTCTGCAACAATCTTCTGTCCCTATGATATTTATATAAAGATTTAAATTAATTTTATATCTGGTAGTTTATACTTTGTTTATGATGGTCCTATCATAGACAGTGCAGTGTCCTATTTTCAATCTCATCAAAGCAAATTCTTCTTGGAGCACAGTAAGATTATCACGAGCCCTCAATTGCAAAGCATTCATTAGATGAGTAGGAGCACCACAAATGATAATGATGGAGTTCCCTTTATGCATGCTTTTGACTATGATCCTTCTGCTCAATCCTTTGAATGCTTTCTCCATTAAACGACGAATATCATTCAATAAGTGCTCAGCAGGATCCCAGTCTAGAACAAACTCAATTGTTTCACAAATGAGAAAATCGCTTGTTGAAAGTTTTTTATCAAGTAAGAATCGAAGTTTGAAATTGTGACAGAACTCATTGACAGCTGCATTATAATCAGCTACCAGTGGCTTAGCTTCAGTTTCTACTTCGCTGTTGAAACTGACTGCTACCTCTACTGGTGCAATATTGATGACATTGCATTTGGTTTTAACAACCTTCATGACATCTTTTACTGTAGCAGCAGAGGTTAGGTTAGGACCTAGCTCAGCATAGCAACCGTCAAGAAATTCTATGAAATCTTCAAGTTGGTTCACTCTGATGGTGTGAGATACCAATCGAGTGACTTTGAAATAGAAAGATCCAAAATTGCCTCTCATTTTGTCAAAGTGATAATTATAATCCTCTGAAATTTGAAACTCAAATTCTGTAACAAAGAAGAATAAAATTAAACACTATAGCCAATATTAAGAATATGAGATACCTTTGAAAATATCTTTCGATTCTTCAATTGTAAGAATTTTATAAATTTTTGCTTTGCTAATATTATTTTAATTTACCTGAGAGTTTAATACTTGATACATTGTGCTCCTCACAATTCTCACAAAGGGAATCTTCTGTCACAAAAGTAATACCTTCATCAGGTGAATTTTCTGCCCTGTAAAAAATATCCTCTACAAAAAAACTAAATATGTATCATCATATATCTTGCTCTTACCACTATCTCTCAATAAGTCATTGGCTATACTAACAGTGCCTGTTGATCTTAATAATATGCTAGCAAATGATTTCAGTTTGTTATGATCATAAGCTACTGCTGTGTATATTTCTCTCATTGCATCATCTGTTAGTGTGTATCCACAACCCTTCACTTCCCTCAATGTCTCTTCAGATATCAGTCCTTCTGTATGTAACAGATCAACTGATTCTTCAGAGAGTGTTGCTCCAGATATTCTACTACTGTAATGCTGTAGTAGCTGGCTAGCAGGGTCAGCCACTTTAGAAATAGAGTATAAACTTTAATCTTATTGAATTAGAACTGTTTACTTATTTCTTCAATATTTTTAGCCACTGCTTTTGCTTCCAATTTTCTAAGAGCATTGGCCAATGTCTGCCAAGTAGGGTGATGTGCTTTACTCAGCCACTTGGATAAACACTCCATGAGACAACGTGAAGTATTTCCTCTATGATTAGCATCAATAGCTTCCAGTGTAGGATAAAGGAGACCAAGATTCAATCCAAATTCAAACCATTTTGCCTCAGGAAACCTGTATTGTTTCAATATCTGCACAATCTCATTTAATTTGCTAATATCTAATAGTAAAGTAAACACTACCAAAGAAATTAAGATATTTATAGCCTACCTAAAATAATAGGGAACATTCTTGCTGGCTTGCTTGATGCCATTTTGCTGTTTGGCAGACTGTGTTTACAAAGTAATAATGTCAAAAAGGAAACACATTGTTTTCTTTGTGCTGTTTTGCTTTGCAGTTTCATGCTTTGTATATCAAGTGCAAATTGAATCATTTTTGTTACATAAACAAACCTCATTGGCTTTGCCGCCTGTAATTTGGAAGGGGAAGTACTTGTAGTGTCTTTCCCTCATTGTACTAACATTCATTGCTATTATTAATAATATCCTCATTTTCACTATTCTACAGTCGGTTGCTGGTAATTATGGTCTTCAAGTATTAGTTTATGATGATGAAGGAAACTATATACAGAAGACATTTTGTTAGCATTACAGCTATTTTGGTATGTAGATATATGCATCAGAAAATAATAGAATATTTTGAAGCAAGTTTTGATAAAGTATCATGGACTCCATAAAAATTTACACATGCATTTTTGTTTGTTTATACACTAGAGTCTAACATTATAAAGAATATCTTCCTAGTGATCATTAATTTACCTTCTATTTCTCTTCCAACTTTTTTTTTCCTTTTTCCATACACGCGCACTCTCTCCTATTTTTCCTTGATATCTTCTCCCGCTGCCTCCCTCTATCTCTCCTCCTCTCTCTAAAGTCCTTACAATAGCAGTTGCTAATAAACATCCAGTTATTACACTACCAACTAATTATATTAAGATATTCTCCAGTACATGGCCTGATTCATCACCAGGTGTTACTTATCATTATCATTGGAGGAGATTGTTTGGCCCTAAGAAGGGAAACCTTAATGGAGTCAATAATAAAACCATCTCATTGAGTCACGTATGGTATAGGGAGAGAGGAGAAAGAGGGAGGAAAATATGAAATACATGTACATTTATGTACCATGGTATGCCTCTGTCATCTACTTTCATTATTCTGTTGACTATCATGAGTTCACATTGTAATTATTGTTGTTAAACTTAAATTTACAAAAAACAAGGATTTTTTAAATGTGAATAAAATAGGAATGGCCTGGGTAATACAACCTGAATTTACATAAATGTACCTTTATTAAGTATCATGAGTATCATATTTGATAAGTAAATCAAAAATATTCCTAAAGTTTGGCCTCTCATCGTCATCTTGTTTCCAGCAGTTTATCATAAGTTGATCAAATGGTTCAGGACAACCTTGAGGTATAGGCATTTGGTAACCTTCTAATACTGCCTCCTTTACTTCTTCATCAGTCATACCAGGATATGGTTCCTTTCCTTTGGTAGCCAGTTCCCATAGTAATATACCAAATGACCAAACATCAGATTTAATACTAAGCTGGTTTAAAGTATATCCTTCAGGTGCTGTCCATCTATAAGTTAGTACACTATATTTCTTAATATTGTAGTATTTTTTGCCATTGAGGTGTTGGGCATAATGAAAGTTTGCTATCTTGACAGTGTTATTATATCCTAATAGTATATTCTCTGCTCTTAGATCACAATGAATGTAGTCTTGTTCTTCTAAATAAATCATACCATTAACAACTTGAATAGCGATATCTACCAGCTCTGTTGGTGCAACATAATGATAATCTCTGAGGTTTCCATTTATTATTGGTTCTGTTACAATATAAAATGGATAGTCTTCAGTACAAACACCATATAGAATGATAATGTTTTGATGCCAAGTAAGTTTTTTCAATATGTTGGCCTCTTCAATGAATGTTTCTTGTGTAATATTTGTTGCTATATTTGTCTTAATCCTCACTGGCCCATTACCTTTCCAATTACCCTTCCATGTCTCTCCAAACTGTCCAGCATTTATGCATTTCAAAAACTTGATTGATGACTTATTAATTTCCCACACTTTATCCACTTCAATGGGTGTGTTTGCTTGTTTGGGTATAGGAACTGTTAGTGGACAGGCCAATCTGAAACCATGTGCTTTCATCATGCAGTGTTGTACCAGGTGATTGAGTGAATCAAACTTGAGATTACGGCTTGTATAATACTTATTAAACTCATTGTTTATATGATAGTGCTTGATAGTAAATCCATCATTAAGCGAAAGGGTATAATGTTGTCCAGGTTTTCTTTCACTATCTCTAATTAGAAAAGTGCCTGCTTCAGTGTCTGGTTTACTCAGTAGCTTCACTGACTCAGTACGACTGACCATATGATAGTAGACATATTTGTAGTACCTAAGTTATAGATTGCAAATTCTCAGTCATTTATTGGCATGCTTACATTGGTGAGTATTTCCCTTCGATCGGTATTATATAATTTATTGGTACTTCACCTCTATTGTCTGTAGCAAGTGAATGCATATACCACCAATGATCATCATTTTCATATTCAACAACTTCAAGTACTTCTCCTATAAAAATGCATAGTTTACTGATATTTTTTTATTGTTGGCAAACCTTTCTTCAAAGATAAATCTTGTAAGTTTGATGCTTCAAAGTTATAACTAGCTTTAAACACTGTAAATAGAAAAGTATTTTTACAATAACAGCATGCAAGAGCATATTTTTACATTTATGCTTTGAGATCCATTTCCTTAATGATTGTAATTGAATAGGATCATTGATAATTTTTTGCATAAAATAATATGCTCTATCATCATCACTTAAATTATCATCAAATAGGATCAGTGGATCTGTCACTGCAAACTGAAACAAGTAAAGTAATTCTACTCTTGAGTATCCAATGTATATCATTGGAACAGCACTCTTCTGTCCAGTCTCCAGTGATTGTACCTCATGTCCATTTGTACTTAACTGAAGTAGTTCACCCTTTTTAAATGAAATTGTTGAGCCACGGCTATAATCATCTTGAGCTTCACAGATAGATCCATTGGATGATAGCACTGTCTGTGTGGATTTCACTTCTTTATCTATGGATGTCTGATTAAAAATTGACAGAGATATACTGTAAGAATTTTGCATTTCAAGCAGCTGCACATGAATAGATGATATACTTTCCTGTAGTTTCTCAATCTCTTGTTCATTGTATTGTAGTACTTCTTTTTGACCTGTTTAAAGCACATGCTTTATGTCATTAGCTTGCATGTATATACTTATTCTGATTCTTAGAGTAGATTGTAAATGTTCAGTTTCTCTTAATAACATTCGCTTTTTTGTGTTTGCAGCCTTTTTTCTTTCGATTTGTTTGATTTTAAAACCTATATTATATTAAAAAGAATATCAGGTGGTATCATTGTTTGATGAATACCTGACGTCTGCATGGTGTCATTGATGAATTCTAAAATTATTGAACTTAATAATTATAATTATATTAATGTAATTCTACCTTGTTTCTGTTTTAAAGGTATAAGTTGTGCTGCTTGATCATCAATAAGACCTGTATACATTTATTAATACTAGTAAAATAATTTATCCTATACTTTGATTGTCACTGTGGTATGGATTCAGCTTCATTAACTCTCCTTCCAACACTTCAATTTCCTCTGCAACAATCTCATGCTCCTTTAATGCATGTATATAAACTTTCAAATTTACTCTAGTATATTGATTATACTTTGTTTCTGATGGTCCTATCATAGACTTTAAAGTGTCCTATTTTCAATCTCATCAAAGCAAATTCTTCTTGCAGCACAGTAAGATTATCACGAGCCCTCAATTGCAAAGCATTCATTAGATGAGTAGGAGCACCACAAATGATAATGATGGAGTTCCCTTTATGCATGCTTTTGACTATGATCCTTCTACTCAATCCTTGGAATGCTTTCTCCATTAAACGACGAATGTCATTCAATAAGTGCTCAGCAGGATCCCAGTCTAGAACAAACTCAATTGTTTCACAAATGAGAAAATCGCTTGTTGAAAGCTTTTTATCAAGCAAGAATTGAAGCTTAAGTTTGTGACAGAACTCATCAAGTGTTGCCTTATAACCAGATATCAATTGATTAGCTTCATTTATGCTGTAAAAGCTGACCACTTCCTTTACTGGTGAAATATTGATGACATTGCACTTTGTTTTAATGACTTTCATGATATCTTTCACTGTAGCAGCAGAGGTTAGATTAGGACCTAGCTCAGGATAGCAATCATCAAGAAATTCTATGAAATCTTCAAGTTGGTTCACTCTGATGGTGTGAGATACCAGTCGAGTGACTTTGAAATAGAAAGTTCCAAATTTTCCTCTCATTTCATCAAAATCATAATGCTCTGAAATTTGAAACTCAAATTCTGTAACAAATAATATCATTATAGCCAATTTTTATAACTAGCTGGCTTACTTGTGGCTCTAACACTTGATTCTTCAACTATAAAGATATAACTTTTACTCGTCAATTAATTTTTTTATTAAAATTACCTGAAATTGATGTAGCATTACTTGATTCATTGTGTGCATCACAACCACTGGTGAAATTTTCTGCATCAAACATGTCCTCTGAAAAAGCATAAAATTCATCGAACATTATTGTTCTTACCACTGCCTCTCATTAAGTCATTGGCTATACTAACAGTGCCTGTTGATCTTAATAATATGCTAGCAAATGATTTCAATTTGTTATGATCATAAGCTACTGCTGTGTATATTTCTCTCATTGCATCATCTGTTAGTGTGTATCCACAACTCTTCACTTCCCTCAATGTCTCTTCAGATATCAGTCCTTCTGTATGTAACAGATCAACCGATTCTCCAGAGAGTGTTGCTCCAGATATTCTACTACTGTAATGCTGTAGTAGCTGGCTAACCACTGGGAAAGGAGTATTACAATACATTATATTGAATTAGAATTGACTTTACTTGTTTTCTCAATATTTTCAGCCACTGATATTGCTTCTAACTTTCTAAGAGCACTAGCCAATGTCTGCCAAGTAGGAGGATACACATTTTCATCAGCTTTACTCAGCCACTTGGATAAACACTCCATGAGACAACGTGAAGTATTTCCTCTATGATTAGCATCAATAGCT